ATAATCGCACAATTTGAACCAGACATACCATCAGATCAGTCTTCTCATCTTGGGATATTTTATGGGAGTTGCTTGTTGGGAGCCGTTGCGTTGAAGACTTTTGGTTTCACCGCCTACGATATGCTCACCACACATATGGGCATGAAGCTGCGCGTGTCTACGTGTTTTCTCATTTATAATAAGGTACCTTTGCGGTCCTTTTCACGATAACAGTATTTAATTAACCCAACACGAGTGTGATTGCTTAATGCATTTTCCTGGCAAACAAAAGATAGCATTTAAATCTAATTTTGAGTATACACTAAAAGTTTAAAAAATGTATTATTTCTACATGTGTTTTGTATATTATACTTGATTTCTATAACTCAAAACATCTTTTTCAATCTAAATATTGACTGTAATTTATTTTTAACTCTCTTAGATACCTTTTTTTAAGTTCATAAATTAAAGTTACCTATTTCTTGTAATATACTAGCATTATTATTATTCCTTCAATATATATTTTAAAAAAAATTTTCCATAGCGATTTATGTGGTCAAGATGGTGTTATTGTTAGGTGTAAACTTATCTATCATCGTTGTTAATATAATCAATTGATGTTTTATTTATGTATGCGTTAAATAAAGTAATATAGACCCCTTTTAATGAATGCAGTTATGAACTATTTGAATAGTTAATTCTAATTGATGTGTACTGTAAGTTAAAATCAATTTCAGTTTAGATAAATTAATAATTATTAACATTATAATATGAACATCAGAACATTTTATAAACTGTATTTTCTTAATTCTAATTTTTCACCTTATTATATATAATATAATATACATTTTATAATTATTTAAGAACAATAATAATATCATCTTATTTAAGTACAATTATTATTGTTCTTAAATAATTATAAAATGTATATTATATTTGGTCAGAAATAACTACAATTTTTAATTTAATACTTGATTAAAAATTAATTAATTACATTACATTTTTTATACTTATATTTATAACTACAGAACATGTACACTAGTTACAAAATATAATAAATGTTATAACACATCTTGTTGCAATAGTTCAAATCATAATCATTATCATAATTCATCAATCATTTCAATAATTAAACATTTTTTTTTTTTATGAATGGGACTATCTATGGTATCTAGATCAAAATGTTCCATTGTAGGTTACTTCTAGTTCAAAATAATAAGCTTTTGTAATGTTATCTTTTGGTAGTCAACTTGCTATATTTTTTATTTTATTTTTTATTGCTATGCATAAGTTAAGTTTTTCTTAATATTTTTTTTTGTGTTTTGGCTTCTTTAACATGTGTGAAAACTAAATTAAATGTTTAGTTGAATGTTTAGACTATAGACATTAAAAAAATATTTAAATAGGTAATTTATTAATTATCTATCAAGCTGTGTAAATTATTATTTTCACATGTATAATGTAGTATATTTGCACTTATCATACTAAATTCAAATACTCTGTAGTTAGTACTAATATTAACCAAAAAAAACTATAGTAATTATATCAGTTAGTTAAATTACTGTTTTTTAGTAAGAAAATAATATTTATGGTTTTATTAATTTACCAACTTTTAATGTTGGAGTATATATTTAACAATTGTTAGGACACAATGTGGTTTTATTCATATTTGTATATATGTATATTGTAATGTATTGGCAATATAGGTATTTGGTATAATTAATTAGGTATAAAAACTAAAAATAATCATCTAGATAATATAACAATTAATAGCCTACACATTGTTATTATTATTTCATGAGTAAGCCAAAACCTATCTAATATAATCATGACCTCAGTAAAAAATATTTATGTTTTTTTTAAAAGTTTAAAATGTTGTTTGTTTTTATGGGTCCTAACCTAACTATATTAACAAATAACTCAGTAGTTTTTGTATACTAAATAATGTGAATTGTAAATATGTCATGATAATAACACATGATACTTCTTACATTTCTAATAAATCTCAGAATTGCGTTTTTGCCATTTTATTTGGTATAACAAGATTGATTTTAGGACATATATTTGTGCAGTGGAGGTTTTGAGAAGTGGCGTAGCCCCCTCTCCCACTTGGGACATGTTTAACTCCTTTTGATATGTATTTTATGTTAAAAAATAATCATTTATATATGGTAGTTTTAAATTTTAAAATATAACATGAATAAAACCTAAGTACAAACTTAATACACTTAGAAACTTGGTAAGAGGACAATAAAAATTGTTTGTGCCATGGTTCTAAATTTGGGACTAAAGCTCCCCTCTTGACATTTTGTCAAAACCGCTTCTGTATTCCTATCATACACCCTTGGACTTTAGTTATTACTTATGAATAGTTTGGTAGGTTCAGTTACTAAATTTGTATGTGACCAAACAACTGTTTCAAGACCGAAGAACATTTATACTGATTGATATTAATTATTTGATTAACCAACACATAGCAGATTTTATTGATTTATTCTATGCAATTTAAAGTCTAGATAATTGATCAATGTGTGTGGGTATAGTGTTATGTCTTATATATTTTTATTTTGTTTATTCGGTAAATAAAAAAGGAGAATTATATACGAATTGTTTAAATCTAGACGTTTTGGACATTATTGTTTGTATTTATAATTTAGGTTGACAATTGAAAATATTGTACTACCTATTTATTATTCATGTAAAACGTATTTAGAATTATACATTTGTTTATTTTATTTGTGTTAATGTTATAATGTACAACAAAATGAGTAATGTGTTTATATTATGTATGTACCTATATGTGTGTGTGTTGTATGTGTGTACCTATGTAGAATGTCTCAGCCTCTGCTCATCGGCGGACTGTTAGCATATTTTGACCCTGATGAGTCCAGACAAACAGACTTAAGACATGCATATATTTATGCATCTGGTTTGGTGTTAAGCATGTTTGCTACATTGGTCTTGTATCACTCAACACAATTAGAAATCATACATTGTGGGATGAAGATTCGAGTTGCCTGCTGTTCAACAATATTTTACAAGGTATATAAATGTGTAACAAAACTTAATGAGTTTTTTTTTAATTTGACTATATGAGTTCATTGAAAGCTTTAGAAGGAACACATCTTGTTCTTTTTCCAGTTACTTACTCAAAATGAATTATACATTCTTTATAGTTAATGTATCATTACTATTATTATACATATATTAAACAATGTTCTAATATTTTGTATTATGACGAGTAATCCCATGTTTGTTATCTTTATCGAATTAGCTTAATATTCATTATACATACAATATACATGGTTATAAATAAACTATACATGCAATGCTATATAAGTATACGTATTATATAGGTTATTTGTGTCAATGTTATTACACATGAAAAATTTGTTTTGTAATAAATAATAATCAAGAATTACAATTAAGATAACCTAAGTCCTAGGAAAATAAATAATTTTACTGTTAAAGCTGTTCATTATTAGGTCCATTATTACAGGCCTAATTGTTATAATAATAGTTACCTAATGGATGTTATTTATTTTCTAGTTGATTAGTATAAATTATTGCTTATTATTTTTTATTAGGTTTTCATTTCCTACTGTTTCTTGATTTTCTTGATTGGTGCATCTGTTAATATTGTGTTGGAACATACAAAATTTCCTGATCTATGTAAAACAATAACTTTTGAAATAGGTTCAAAATAATATAACATGTGATTAATTGTGTAAGTACTATAAGTACCTATACCATTTTATAATTGTTATTATATAAATCATGTATATTATTTTAAAAATTAATTCTGACCAATAATAAAACCCATTAATGAATAAATGATATTACTGCATTCATATTAGTATTACATCATATTTGTATCTGTTAATTAAAATTATTAATAGTTCATTCTGCCACAGAATTTATTGAATTTAATCTATCCTGTGATTCTACTATAATCCAATATATTTCATGCATTTTATCCTAGAATAAATAATTTAGTTGTTTTGATTGAGTATTTAATTAATCAGTTGATTAATTCAATTTTAATTGGAATGAAATATTAACCTTCACTAAGCCATCAAGCCTTGTAAATTTCTAATATGTATTACTTATTGTATTGTCTATACAGATTGTAAATATTTGTTGTGTCTTGATAATAAAGATAAAACTAAATGATTTTACCTGTAACAACCTGTACAATTTAAAAAAATACAAACAATGTTTGGATTACTCATACTTATTATTATTTATGCTTTTCTTTCATAGTGAATGTACTTTATATGAAACAATATGTGAGTAAATTTCTTGAATACCTAATGCAAATTGGTTTGCATTAACATTGTTTATACCTAACTAAATCATTAATGTATTTCTTAAGTATTAGTATATCTACTTATGAAGCGCTTGTACTATATTAGAAGAATTATGCCTTTTTTTATTCAAATAGGTGAATAATAACTTCTATATTTCGGACTTTAATACCTGAATATAATTCTCTTATATTCTTATATTTTTGGTTTTAAAATGATTTTTCTGAAAATCTGAATAATTATAATTAAACATTCGGTTTTCATATAGTATTTACATTATACACTTACCTGCAGCTTGCCTACCAATATTTTAAAATAGTTATTACAATAATAATTTGCATAAATTATATTGTGTGTATATAAATTGTAAATTTTATTGTTTGTGCATGCTACTTTGAGCTTTGATAATATTTTACGTAGAAAATAAGTGTGACTTTTGCATGATTTGTATATTATAATTATAATGTTGTTGGATTTGATTTAAATATTATTAAGTGGATGACTTATAAAAATATTAGTTAATTATAGCAATATTCTTGCCAATATAAATATTATATATTATTAAGTACATAAAAAAAAGTATAACATTTGTTATATATAGGCATTACGGCTAAGTAAAACTGCTCTTGGTGAAACCACAGTTGGTCAAGTAGTAAATTTATTATCAAATGATGTAAATCGATTTGATATAGCAGTAATATTTCTGCATTATCTATGGATCGGTCCCTTGGAAACGATTGTGGTCACATATTTTTTGTGGCAAGAAGTAGGAGTGTCATCAATATTTGGAGTAGGCGCGTTACTTATGTTTATTCCTCTACAGGTTGTGTAACATAATTGGTTGTGAATACCATATAATAGCGTGAACCTGTATAGGTTATCCATAATCGGATTACATATTTAACAAATAAAACAAATGTTCAACTCTTAGGATGGTTGGGGAAAAAAACTTCAGAACTTCGACTGAAGACGGCTATCCGGACTGACGAGAGGGTTCGTTTGATGAATGAAATCATTTCGGGCATACAAGTAATTAAAATGTATACTTGGGAAAAGCCTTTCGCCTACCTTGTACAATACGCTAGAAAGTATGTTCTTATTTATTTAATATAAACTGTTATTTTGTAAAAACCAAGAGAAAATACTTGTTTACACATGTTTGTAATTTGTATTTTGTAATGTTAATAGGAAAGAAATTCAACAAATTAGGGGATCCTCTTACATCAGAGGAGTCTTGTTATCGTTCATAGTATTTCATACTAGAATGCGTTTATTCTTCAGTATTTTGACGTATGTGCTGCTTGGAAATTTTATTACCGCCCAAAAAGTATACATTTTTGCAGTTCAAATAATAAAAATTATACTGAAATTAAAATAATACAATATTTAAACTACATTTACATGTTTTTAGGTTTTCGTCATAACTTCGTACTTCAATATATTGCGGACAACGATGACTGTATTTTTCCCTCAAGGTATTGGACAAATAGCCGAGATGTTAATATCCATTAAACGCCTACAGGTATGAATAATATAATATTTATTTAAAAATGATAAATTTATACTCTACAAATATATTTTAAATTATCATTTTATTTTCGTATTTTAGAATTTTCTATTGTATGAAGAAAAAAACACTCAAGTGGCAAATCGTTCAAAGGCCGACAAAGCTTCAAATGGTGTTAGAAAACCAATCATTATTAATGACAATAATACATCCCCACTGAATGATCAAAATGACCCTGAACAATTAGGCAATTTAGGCATAGTTGTATCTAATGCTACTGCTAAGTGGACAGATGCTCAAACTGAAAATTCTTTAGAAAATATCAATCTAACAGTAAAACCTGGTAGATTGGTCGCAGTCATTGGTCCTGTAGGAGCTGGAAAAGTATAATATAAAAAAGTTATGAAAAATAATTTGCTAATATTATAACATTTTAATAATTTATTACAGAGTTCATTATTACACGCAATTTTACGAGAATTACCACTTTCCGAAGGAAGTATTTCTGTGCGTGGTGTAGTATCTTATGCATCACAAGAACCGTGGTTATTTGCCGGATCAGTTCAACAAAACATTCTATTTGGTTTGCCAATGGATAAGGAACGTTATAGAAAAGTAATTAATAAGCAAAATGTTCTGATCCTTAGTAAATATTTATATACTTATTTTTTGTAAACTAGGTGATAAAAGTATGTGCATTGAAAACAGATTTTGAACAATTTCCTTATGGCGATAGAACAATTGTAGGAGAAAGAGGAGTTTCACTTAGTGGTGGACAAAGAGCAAGAATTAATTTAGCTAGGTAAGTTGCAAGCTAGTTTGTAAAAATGAGTAATATTAATTTGACTAAATATATAATTTTGTTAGTAAGCTACATACTATATGTTACTGTTGGTTGTGTTTGAAATGTTGTATCCTATTATGTAGATTGGACTAATTTGTTTTTGTTTTAACTAAGCTTTATTATCCATATAACATAGAATTAAATAATTTTATTTTGATCTGTTTGGGTTGATTCAAGATTTTATACTTTTTTTGTTCCAGAGCTGTTTATAAACCAGCGGATATTTACTTATTGGATGATCCTTTATCTGCTGTAGACACTCATGTTGGCAAGCATTTATTTGAGATATGCATTAAAGGTAATTTTGAATACAATTTAAAGTTGTCAGAGTTATAATAATTACATTTGTTTAGGTTATCTGAAAGAAAAGACTTGTATTCTTATTACTCATCAATTACAATATCTAACTAAAGTTGATCAAATTATTTTAATGGAAAATGTAAGTATTTTTTTACTATTCAGTATTATTCAAAATACAGTTCTGTGATTTGTACATTTTTGAGTTATGATAAATAAAAAATTACAATTTAAAATTTTATAATAATTAATGAGTCCATTTTTATATTTCTTAATAGGCAAATATATTAGCTGAAGGTTCATATCAGGAACTTCAAACTTCTGGTTTAGACTTTACAAAACTACTTGGATCTTCAGTAGAAACAAATGTTGTATCAGATAATGAATCTAATTCTAAATATGAGAGTACCCATACATTAAGTCCTCGTACTATTTTATCAAGGCAAGTTTCTATCCAAAGTGTTGCCTCATCCATTGATGAGACCAAACTCGGAGCACAGGAAGAACCAATCGAAATAGCTGAAACTCGTTCATCTGGAAATATTTCACTTACTGTATACTCATCATATTTTTCTGCTGGTGGAAATGTTTGTAAAATATCATTTTTATTATTTATGTGTGTTTTCACCCAAGTCTTAGCATCTGGTGGAGATTATTGGATAACATACTGGTACAGTGCAGCACTATTATTATCTTTAAGTTTATTTTATTACATTTCAAATATTATTTACAGGGTCAATCTAGAAGAACTTGTTTTTCGTAATACAAGTAGTATAAATGATAAATTGATATCCATAGATAATAATAGTACAACTACATCGACGGCTAGTGTTATGACTAATCAATTGTTGTGGTGGACAATTTCACGGCAAACTTGTATCATAGTTTTTGCTGTCTTAACATTTTCTATGATATTGGCTACCCTTGTCAGGTCTGCTACATTTGTATCGGTTTGTATGAGAGCATCTATGAATTTGCATAACAAGATGTTCAATGCTATAACCAGAGCCACAATGTATTTTTTCAACACTAATTCATCTGGTAAAAATTGTTTAAATGATTGCATTTTAATTAGGTTTACTTGAATACTTGATCATATTTTTTTATTTTAATAGGACGAATTCTCAATCGATTTTCAAAAGACATGGGCGCAATTGACGAAATGTTACCAGTAGCTTTAATGGATTGTATTCAAGTAATTTATAACATTATCTTGTATGAAACCAAATTCTATAGTATATGTTTATTATAGATTGGATTAACACTAATGGGAATCATCATTGTTGTTGGAATAGTTAACGTTTATCTTATGATACCAACTTTCATAGTTGGAATAATCTTTTACAAAATTCGAGTTTTCTATTTGTCAACTTCTCGAAGTGTCAAACGATTGGAAGGAGTTAGTAAGCACACACAAGTTTTTACATCAATTTTTCATATTATGAAATAATGTAGGGGCATAAAATTTGATTATTTTTGTTTTGTAATGAAAAATAGCACGAAGCCCTGTATTTGCACATTTGAATGCATCTTTACAAGGTTTAACAACAATTAGAGCATTTGAAGCTGAGCAAATTTTATCTAAAGAATTTGACAACCATCAAGTTAGTAAAAATAGCTATTTTTTGTTTCTATTGTTTAAATGTTAATTATTTCAATAATTTTAGGATTTACATTCTTCAGCATGGTATTTATTTATATCTTCAAGTAGAGCATTTGGTTTTTGGTTGGATGTAGTCTGCCTTATCTATATAAGCGTAGTAACATTCAGTTTCTTAATTATGGGCAGCAGTAAGTTATAAAACTAAATTAGTTTTAAAATAGTACAAATGTTAATTTGTTTTAAATGTTATTTATATTATTTAATTTTAGATACATTTGGAGGAAATGTTGGTCTGGCTATTACTCAAGCAATTGGATTGACCGGTATGTTCCAATGGGGAATGAGACAATCAGCAGAATTAGAAAATCAAATGACATCAGTTGAAAGAGTACTAGAATATACAAATGCCCCACAGGAAGCTGCTCTTGAATCACCTCCAGGTACTTTGAATTAAATTCTTTTGTAATCAAATGTAAATTGAATTATACTGAGTATGGTATTTTGTAAATATTTGTTTATAGAGAAAAAACCATCAAAGGATTGGCCTCATAAAGGACAAATCATGTTCAAAAACTTTTATTTGCGTTATAGCCTAGATACACCGCATGTTTTGAAAGATCTCAATATTAAGATTGAATCAATGGAAAAAGTAATTTTGAGTACTATATCATATTTTGAAACAGTTATTAATAATCACATTACATTTAGATCGGGATTGTTGGTAGGACTGGTGCTGGAAAGTCATCCTTGATAGGAGCATTGTTTAGATTGGCTGTAAATGAAGGTTCCATTTTTGTCGATGATTTAGACATTAATAATTTGGGACTACATGAACTTCGGTCCAAACTTTCAATCATTCCTCAGGAACCAGTTTTGTTTTCAGGAACAATGCGAAAAAATTTAGATCCTTTTGATGAATACCCAGATCATGCTCTTTGGAATGCTTTAGATGAAGTAATGATCAATTGTATTTTTCTTTATCAAAATACTAATTCTATTAGTAAAGCTTATACTTGCATGAAAGTTTCAGTCTTAAAATTAATTATAATACTGTTATTCAAGGTTGAACTTAAGGATGCAGTTGAAGATTTACCTGGTGGCTTAAACTCAAAAATGTCTGAAGGTGGTTCAAATTTCAGCGTTGGTCAAAGACAATTAGTGTGTTTGGCTAGAGCTATAGTGCGGAACAATAAAATCCTTGTGTTAGACGAAGCCACTGCTAATGTTGATCCACAGTAATAAATAATTAATAGACCACAAAACAACTATAGTTGAAGGTCAATACTTTAAGCTATTAGAACTATACGATTTCCTTGTTTATTTTCACAGAACTGATGCATTGATTCAAAATACAATTAGGAATAAGTTCAGAATGTGTACGGTCTTAACAATCGCTCACCGTTTGAATACTGTTATGGATTCTGACAAGGTTCTTGTAATGGATGCTGGCAAGATGGTTGAATTTGATCATCCGCATAATTTGTTGAAAAACAAAGATGGGTTTTTATACAAAATGGTGGATCAAACCGGAAAGACTACAGCTGATTTGTTGCATAGTGTAGCTGCCGAGGTAATATATTTCATAATTTTCTTTTTCTATTTGACCTTGTTGAAATGTGTATATATCTAATTTTGAATTTTATGAAATTAATTTGTTTTAAACAAACAGAGCTATAGAAACCAGCAGTTGACAAGAGAATCTCCAATCAAATTAATTGACGAAGATGTAGATGATACGAGTAGGAATACCTAGTTTTTTTTTGTTTCCATAGTTATTAATATTTATCACATGATGCCTTACATAATATATTATATAAAACATATTTTTAATTGTTCTAATTTAACGTTCATATGTTTACCATGATAAATGTCCACAATGTCAACATTGCTGTGTTATTTTAAGGGAATTTTGTACAACCAGTTTATCGTACATATATGTTTTAAATTCAAATCAAATTAGTTCTTACGTAGTCAATATTAGTATTTACAAGTCATTTAAACATTTTGTTTTATGGTTTATACTGTATACTATAGGGATAAATAAGTTGTTGTCTGTTAAATTCTACGTGTTTATATTGTTAAATTAAAGATGATCACTTTTGTACTTAAGTGTTGTTTATTTTTTTTGTTCCAAATATTTTTGATGATCGATTGCTCTCGAGTATACCAAATAAGCAGGTCGAACTCAAATATCTGTAGTCTGTACTAAGACCAACGTTTAACATGTAACACCATAGTCCATACTAAACTTATAAGTAAATGTCTTTAATTTATTTGCCAATAATATAATAATTATAACTACAACAACCATGGTTCATAAGTACCTATCTAATACTAGGTGAATAACCCTATATTAATATGAATAGGTAAAATAAATAATAACACTATATAAACCTTTCGCCCTTGTGTTGTTTTTTTTGTGTTAAAACTTTATTTTTAGATTCTGAGTGGAACGATGAATGTATTGATTTTACAATGATGTGTGTTTTTTAATTTTTTAATTTTTTTTTTGGGTCTCTCATCACCTTTTAGGACAGTAAATGTGCTTGAATTTTCTTCAACAGTATCTTTTCTGATAGGAAAGTGAATCTAGTTGGTACTTTAGGGGGTCAAAAGTAAAATTTTTCCAGTAGTTTTCAAAAGCGCCTTGAAAAACAAAAGAAAAATTAAGGAAAAACGGGAATTTTTAAGCTAAATTGATTTGGTTTTTGTTGTTACTCTAAAACAAAGGAACTATACATGAAAATTTCACTGGTTGCTTATATTTTCATTTTCTATACATGTTAAAATTTTATAAATATTTTGTTTTATTTTGAGCTCTTTACAGACATTTTCATTTTTTTTAATTTTTTTTTCTATAAATATCAATACAATTTTATTTGTTGGGTACAAAAGCTTAAAAATTTAATATTAGGCTCCTAATATATTGTTTCAAAGACACATGAAAAATATTAAAAATCCTTAGTCGCAGTTTTTTGTTATAGGTAAGCATTTAAAGTTCAAATATTATATATAATAGATACTAGCCGATCCTTCACAGCTTCGCCCGTGATTGGTTGTTTATTTTGCCTCCGGACGATGAGATGGATAATTTTGTATTCAAATTTTATCGTTTAATGTGATCAGCAAGTAAATATAAAAACGGTTAATTAGAACGTATTAAAATATTTCTAGCGCCATTAAGAGGATGTCAGCACACTATTTGTTTTCTCACTCTGACCCACACGCAACATAGACAAAACGAATATTACGCAGAAACATTTTTTCTATGTTTTTAAGTAATCTTAGAGTAAAATCACCCATTACAAAAAAGATAGATAATAATATTTTTGAGGGAATGTCATATCGATTTTATATTTTATTATTATTTGACTTTGTATTCTACTTTCAAAATAAACAAAAAAAGGTTTTACATTAAAATTATGTTTAAATTGTTTTGAGACAATATTTAGACAAATCGATAGGACATTCCCTCAAAAATATTATTCTCTATCTTTTTTGTAATGAGTGATTTTACTCTAAGATTACTTAAAAACATAGAAAAAATGTTTCTGCGTAAATTCGTTTTGTCTATGTTGCGTGTGGGTCAGAGTGAGAAAACAAATAGTGCGCTGAGTGCTGACATCCTCTTAATAATAAATATATTTTTATTAAAAATAGCTGATCCCGTGCACTTAGTTGCTCGTTAAATGTACCAACTCTACATGACTCAAACCTTATTCAATTTGTTATTTAATTTTCGGTGTTCAAAACTTATCTTAACTTTTCCGTTGCCCAGAATAAAAAATTCTGATTCGCAGCAGTATATATCAGGTAGGCAATCTACATGTGGTTGATCGCGGACCTCTTGCTGTTTGTACGTAGGTGTATATGATTTCGGTGTTTCCAAATTGTGGACAAAGTGACAAAAACCGTGTGAGTTGAGGACGAAATCTAAAAAGGTGACATACGAATTGCCGACAAAAATATAAGACACTAAATGTGGACAGATTTCCTATTATTACTTTTGATATAGCGATCGTGGACGTTGGGAAATTACTGTTTGATATTAACGATTAATAGATTGTGCTGGTGCTTTTGAAACAGCTGCCTGTGTTTAATCAGTTAATCGACAACCATACTCGCTTGTTCGTTTATTTTCTGTATAAAAATGTATAGGTAGTGAACTTAAAGAGTTCAAGAGTTAAAGAGTTACATGTGATTGACGGGTTTAAGTCTACACTGCCGGCTGACTACTGCTATACACGATTTTATAGATTATGTTTTTGACAACTATATAAATACAGATTCTGCAATGTTTTCTCCGGAAATATGGGCAGAATTTTCTTCTTCTACTTCACGAACCACAAATGCCTGCGAAAGTTTTCATGCTAAACTTAATGGTATGTTTTATCGCAGTCACCCTAATATATATCAATTGATCGAGGCCTTAAATGAAGTACAGGCTAGTAGCAAATGAATTGTTCTGCTGTATACAAAATTTAAAACGAGCAAAAAAAACTATTGAAAAGGAGGCATTTATTAGCAAACAAACGTTGCAATATTCACGTGGTGAAATCAGTAGAATATCATATATACAGGCTGTTTCAAAAAAAATTTTACCACAAGATCTATAAAAACTATGACAATAAATAATGACGATAATCTATACCTAAATATTTTATAAACCATTTTTTCCACAAAATTAAAACAATAAATAATTCAACAGGGGGACGAGGTGGTCGAGCGGTCTAACACGTCGTCTGTGGCGCTGGCGGTCGCGGGTTCGATTCTCTCGACCACTGGGAGGCATTTTTCTCCGGGCAAGTCACGGTGTCCGGAGAACAAGTGCCGCCATTTCCCACTCCGGGGCATGGCAGAAACCTACGGGTGCCCCATTCGAAATTCTGCCAAAATACACCCACGTGTAACAACCTACAATTTCCCCCCTACAGTACCACAGGCTAATAACCTTGCAGTTGATGCCTTAAAAAAAAAAAAAAAATAATAATTCAACAACATTTTAAAAATAACGATTGCTCTTTTGCAAGACACAAATAATTTTAACCCCACCTACCAATTTTTTTGGTAGCTTGTCCTAAGTCCTGAAAAAGTGGAGAAGGGAAATATTTGTGTCCACAACTAACGTGGTTTTTATTAAAAAAAAGCTCTGTACGCAATTAGTATTATGACAACGAAACTCGTGTCCGCAATTGTTATGTTATAATTCCTGACCTGAATAATTCGTCCGCAACTAGTATGTGTCCTATGGGCTATGATTCAAATGGTATTCCTAAGGTATCAAAGCTATACCAATTTTGTCGTTTTTACTTAATTTCACCTAAGATGGATTAATATAATATCAATTAATACAAAATCCTAACCTAACCGTACTAAAAACCGATGAATAAAAAAAAAATTTCACCCTTTTTAAATTAATCTATCTTCTTCCCAGAGGTCTAATCTGCACACAAACATTCATATATATTATATATATATATTGATGAAAAATTAAAATTAAAATCAACAAATATGCCCTATTAAGCAATAGCAGCCAATATATAATAGGTACACTATTATTATTTTAATCTGCAACAATAATCTTCATTTTTTATTTTTTATTATTTAGTTTATTTTTTTATGGACAGACGGCGCCATTTTTGTACTTTTAACATCTATATTTCCTACTTTTCTGGTGGACTTTCCTAAACAAAAGTGGACAAAGTGGTACTAAAACTTCCAGCAGACTGTCAAGTATAACAGTTGATTGATGTTATTTTCACAGACTTTACTAAAGCCTTCGATAGAGTCGACCATGGCCGCCTAATCGAGACCCTATACAAAACTGGGTTCGGTGAACCATTGTTGTCTTGGTTCAAATCTTATTTGTCAGACAGAGTCCAATGGGTGAAAGTGTTCGGATGCAAATCATCCATCTCAAAGGTCTCTTCTGGAGTTCCTCAAGGAGGACATTTATCTCCAATATTGTTTTCTTTGTATGTAAATGGCATCAAGGAAATTGTCAAAAACTGTGAACTTCTCATGTTCGCCGACGACTTGAAGCTCTTTAGGAAAATTGATAACTTATCTGACTGCTCTACGCTCCAGAATGATCTCAACAACCTGGTCTCCTGGTTTAATAATATTGGTCTTCAGTTTAATGTAAATAAATGTCATTCCATGTCATTTTTAAGACACCGCTCCCCTATTAACTATACTTACTCCATCAATGGTTCAAGTGTAACATCGGTTTGTAGTAAGAAAGACCTAGGTATTATCTTTAATTCCGATCTCAATTTTCACTCCCACACTGAAATGATATGCTGCAAAGCCTTAAAAACGCTTGGGTTTGTAATGCGCATATCAAAGGAGTTCAATTTATCTTCTTCATTAAAAACTTTATACTGCTCATTGGTCCGTTCACTTTTAGAGTATGCTTCGGTCCTATGGGACCCTTATACGGTATCTGACTCATGTCAATTAGAGCGTGTTCAGAGACGGTTCTTATCTTGCGCAGCTTTTGTCTTAAAAATAAATCATCCTCCCCATGATTATTTCTTAGTTATGCAGGAACTCAGCCTCATTTCACTGGCCGACAGGCGATTTAACGCTAACATTGAGTTTCTGAATAAACTGATTGATGGTCGTATAGATGCTCCCTCACTTCTCTCGATAGTCAATTTCAGAGTTCCTTCCCGTGCTACTAGATACCATGCTCCCTTCGTTGTTCCTGCGCACACTACCAATTATGGCAGAAATAATCCGTTAGACCGC